AAAAAAAGAAAGAAAGAAAGAAACATTGCTATACTTTGATGAAGACTTCAAATATTAAATAACTGGGAGATGGGTTTGGTCAGAACATTGTAAACAATGTAGCCTCTGTAATCTGTGCACTTGCGCAGTCTAGATTGTGTCAAAATAACAGTTTTAATGAAGTTTGTGTTCATTAAATGTATAAAACTGTTCTGCTTTTATACAGATGATTCAGTAATGTCACACCTTCCAGTATTGCACTATATAGTTGACTCCATGAAACCCTTACATTCAAAATTTCACCTCTTTGAACCCATCTTCTCAATTGCTGAGACTGCCCACCATCAACATTACAATTAATAACCAGACTTGTGTCATCTCCAAGAATTGCCTTCTGTGATTTAATTAAGTGCATTAAGAATAGAGTTAATTGGCACTTTGTTATACTCACCCTCCTGGCACAATTGCCGAAGACAAAATGGGTGCATAAGCAAATGTGAAGAAAACTGATGGTGCCCGGCTATTAAAAGATATAGCATCTGGGGTCTTAAAGACTTGAAGTTAAACAAGCAGCCATCCAGCAATGAAGCAACAAGCCCACATGGAAGAAGCACACAAGCTGGTGTGATCATGAGGTGTCATCAGGGCCGGGTAACTGGCATCAGAAGACCCATAACAAACAAACAAACAAAAATATTTTGTTGAGAACAAGGGGAATGGAGCAAAGACCCCAAACCCATCTGGAGACAATGGAATATTCCCCCACAGAGGGCTCTCAGGGAAGGGATAAGTCAACCAGGGTGCAGTAAAGCACTGGTAGAACCCACAATATTTCTCTGGTTCCTTGAGGCTTCCTCACCCCCACACTCATGACTCCAGTGCTGATTCTCACTCTGGACTAGACTAGAACATGTGCACGGGTATAGATAAGAGATAAAAGCTCGTGATACACAGAATCCAGGGACAGGAATTGGAATAGCAATAAAAGAAGGGTAGGGATAAGGGGCGGAGAGGAGGGGAGGAAGGGGGAACTGATCACAATGATCGACACATAACCACACACACCCCTCCAGGGGGAAAAACAACAGAAACCATGGGGAAAGGGAGACAGCGGTCAGTGTAAGATATGAAAATAATAATACTTTATAATCTATCAAGGGGTCATGAGGGGGGAGGGAGGGAAAAAAGAGGAGCTGAAACCAAGGGCTCAATAGAAAGTAAATGTCTATAAAAGAACAATGGCAGCATATGTACAAATATGCCTGATACAGTTGATGTATGGATTGTAATAAGAGTTATAAGAACCCCCAATAAAATGATCTTTTAATAAAAATTTTAAAAGAAGAAATAAAGTTTTAATCCTTAAAAAAAAGGGATGAGAAGCATGCAAAAAAATTAAAAATTAAAATAAAATAAAAAATAATAGCGTTAATGAGGATGGAATCATGGTAGAATCTGATATTAATAATCTCTCCAGCCTGATAGCTACTGGCCATCCTTTGGGAAAGGAAACCATCCCCTCAACTTGAAATTGACTGCCTCTCTCCCCCTGGAGATGCCTCCCCCCACCCAGCAGCCGTAGATGGCCACTGAGAGTCCATCACAAGCCCTATAATTTGTCAATTAAATCAGTAATCACAGATATAATTTCAGTAATAATAAAAGAAAGGGAGACACCCAGAAAGTGAGGCAGAAGGTATGTACTTTGTAAAGTCATTTTCAGATTGCTCTAGCACTTTTGTTTGAAGTAAGGTCATCTCCCGAGGATTGCTTTTCTTGTCTGTGTAGTGTCAGATTTCCTTAACAGCTATAGAATTTTAGTTTGCATGTTCATCATGAGAGAGAGAGAGAGAGAGAGTAACCTTTCTGCCGACCTGACTTACTACAAACATGCACAAGCAAGTGCACACACTTACTCGGACCTCCTCCACCCACTTTCCTTTCACTGAATCTATGTAGCATTGCATCACTGAGAATTCCCCTGTCCCACAGTGGTACTAGGCTCCCATGCTCACAACAGCATTTGCAGCCTGTGCCCTCCCTGCTTGAAGACTTTATTTGAGAACACGATTGCATCCTGTTCCTGTCTTCCCTCTAGCATGCGAACCCTGCTGAGTTAGTTAATTGTGCCAACCTGGCCAATAATCACATGTGGGGCTAATTGAAAGGCGGAGGGATAAATGGGTGGTGAGCCTTACCTTTCTAGTTCTCAGGTCTCTTGCTTTGTGATGGTCGCACCAGGGTGCAGCTGCCTTAGCAGTTCCCTGCTTCAGCTTGCAAGATTGACTTCCTACAAGACATCCCCAAGGAGAAGCCACATAGACCTATCCCCATGCAGCCCTGGGTGCTGGAGCAGCCGTGTGGAGACCCCTGCTAGTGCTGAGATGCTTGTTCATTCACTGACTCAGCTTTCCTCCTGCCGTCGGCATCATTGCCTCTGTTTTGTGAGGTGGAGGACTTTGTGGACTGGTGTTGGGTTAATGGGTTAATGTTGGACTTGTGGGCTTGGGCAGCATTGGGTTGGGATGTTTTCGTGATGTACATTTTCTTTATATAAAACTCTCTTATACATGAGTTGCTGTGGACTTGTTTCTCTCAAGTACCCAGACTAATCACCTGCGTACCATTTGCCTTCTGAGTGCAGGGGCCCTCAGTTCCCCTCAGCCTTGGTGGAGCACACATGTCCTTACAGCTTATGTGTTGTTGCCTTGCGCTCATAGTGCTGAGCGTGAGTTGACATCACATTGAAGTCACTGAGTGTCACGGCTTTTGCTCAGCTGCTAAGCTAGAGGTCGGTTGTTTGCACCCACGCAGTGGCGCCGCAGAAGAGCAGCCTGACAATCTGCTTGTAAACATCACAGCCGAGGAACCCCTGTGGAGCACACGCCTCTGTAACATATGGGTTGCCGTGAGTCAGAATCAACTCCACAGCAAAGCATTTGGTATTCTTATTATCTCTTTTTGGTGTTGTTGGTTCCTTTAATACTTGAACAGGGAAGTTTTGTGGGGGGAGGTGGGGAGGGGTGGAAATATTCCCTCAGTGTAGTGAAGATCCCCACTGAAGCTTGCTCTTTTCCAACCCTTCTTCTCCTCAGGTTATTTTCTGAATTTCCTGGAACCAGTAAACAATATCACCATAGTCCAGGGCCAGACAGCGATTCTCCACTGTAAGGTGGCAGGCAACCCACCTCCCAACGTGCGGTGGCTTAAGAACGATGCCCCAGTTGTACAGGAGCCCCAACGGATCATCATCCGCAAGACAGAATACGGTTCCCGGCTGAGGATTCAAGACCTGGACACGACAGACACGGGCTACTATCAGTGTGTGGCCACCAACGGGGTGAAGACTATCATGGCCACCGGTGTGCTGTTTGTGAGGCTTGGTGAGTCAAGTGCTTGAGAGCATGTCTGTTGACAGATAGGATGCCTGCTTAGAACATTCACAGCCACGGAGAGGAATATGAGTTTGCGATTTGAAACTGAACACACACACCTCCGTAGGAAAGAAAAATCTGGAAAACCATTCCCCAAGGCCTCTCCCATGGTGCCCAAGTCCCCAGCTTAACCTGTTATCCACTTCCTAGTAATAAAAGGAAGTAGATGCGGATGGAATGGTCTGCAACTTAGAGTGTAAAACGTACTCCTAGAATATGCATTTAAAGAGAAAGGTTGCATTTCGTGAGGGCAGCACTCCACGGGGATTTCTGCCACCATGCCAGATGGCCAGGCTTCTACGGGGATACAGATAGGTCTGAAGCAGGCCTGGTGGGCACTGAGGTGGTTGTATGGATGAGGTATGCCCGAATCTACTTTGTAGAAATCTGAGCTGAGCCAAACAATGAGTAAAATTCCACTTCCGCACTGTTAGGCGTCCATAGAGTTGGGAAGGGAACTCTGGCAGGAAGGAATGGGCCCAGCTCCCCTCAGAATCCCTGGGTGGTGCAAATGGTGAGCATTCGTGGCTGCTAACTGGAAGTGTGACCTGTTCCCATCAACCCTAGAGTGGCTCAGCAGAAAGGCCTGGCGATCTGAACAATCAGCCATTGAAAACCTTACAGAGCACAGGACTGCTCTGACACACATGAGGTTATCGTGCATCAAGAGTGACCCTCGGGCAACTCGCTATTTAGGTTCATCAGATTTCTGAGAAAGGGCCCAGGCCAAACCTAAGTCCTGTCAGAAACCCCTGGCAAAATCGCTAACCCATTTTATCACAGATCAGTAAAAGGCCTTTTATGTATGAAGATAATCCTTTAAAACCAGAAGAGAAGAAAGATAGCAAAAACTCCAAAAATATCGCTAAAATGTGTGTATAAGCAGAAGAGGATCCGTACCCCTTCTTGTGATTGTCCACGCCACTAAGATGTAATTGTGGACAAGAAAGGAAGAGCCCAAGACCATAGGCACACTCACCACAAGTGTAGTGGGTTTCGCCATCTTTTCATTGGCCTGACTTGAAAATTCTTTTATTCCACATCATGAAATATTAACAACTTTTTTATTTTATCTTTTTAGGTCCAACACACAGTCCAAACCATAATTTTCAGTAAGTATCTCTTTTCTGAAAATCATTTTCTGAGGCTTTTGGAGTTTCCACTATATAACAAGCCAGGTTACAAATTTGGTCAATACCCTTTGTAGCCACCACAAGTCATCGCTGAATTTGGGGGTGGGGGGTGGGGGGGAGGCTGGACTTCATATGACAGTGGCACTGTATTTGATTTGAGTTGATAAAGTCATCCTGGGAAATTTATATATTTTCCAGTTTAGTGTAAAGAAAAGCTGTTCCCTATACACGTGAAAGTGGTTCCTCTCTCTCAGCAGTCATGACCTGGAAAAGGCACAAGTATCTACACCAGGTTGTCAAGGCCACCAGAATTTGGGCTTTTTAAAGCCCCTGGAAGCCTAGAGTCAATTCTTGTTCTGAAATCTCAGTACAACCAATCGTTGCATTTATAGGTGTAGTGTATAAAATAAGCTTCTGGGCACACTCTGAGATAGGCAAGTTTTCAGTCCTATTTCTAAAATGGGAACACTGAAACTTGGTTTATTGCTTGTATTCTGTGGTGAATTGTTGGCCAAATTTGTGGTTCAGTGGTGGCCTCTTGTCTCCCAGTGCAATGTCTTTCCAGTGCACCACACTTTATTGTGAGGAAACTGTCCTCTGATTGTCAAACATTCTGCCATTATGTAAATGGGATATTATTCTTTTCTTTGCTTACATTGAATATTAACAGACTACTGAAGTCTTGTCATTTCCTATACAAATGCTACTGAAGAGATTTTGACTCATTTTTTAATGTTTTGAACAGTGATACAACCACGATGTCGTTGATTAATTTAGCATTATTTGCTTGTTCACACTTCCCTGCTCACAATAGGTAATGCCCTATGAACATTACCAATGGGAATGAGGCTCTGAGGTGCCATGTAGGGGAGAACTGGCAAAGGAGCCACCCTTCTAAACATACAGCAAGGTGACTTTAAGAGAAGGCAGAATTTCAGAACATTCTGCCTAAAAAGGAGTTCAGAATCCTTTTACCTTAATAATTCGTCATGGAGATAAACAACACCTAACACTGAGCAAAGAAATTAAACCAAGGTCATATTTTATGAGGCTTTGGAAAACATAGAAATCATTTTGGATGTTGAGCCATTATTTATGTAACATATCTTTACTTGGGATTTTCTTACGATTTGTAGATTTATAAATTTTATTATTATAGATTTATAAGTTGACACACACTAATAAATAATGCTTGCAGTGTCCATAAAATGAAAATTCTGTCTGGCCACCTAGTCTGCCTTGCTCTTTCCTTCAGCATTTCACACGTATGTGTACCTAGAGAAAGACCACCTCTTGCTTTGATTTACTGCTTTACATAAATGGCGTTATACTTGATATGTTTCATTAACAATATGCCTTTGAGATCTTTCCACAGCTGTATAGTTAAATTTCTGTTACCTTTTTCTTCTTTCTGCTATTCCATGTACCACTGAACTATTCCCCTTAAACCAGTTGCGAAACATATTTGAGAGATACTGAGGTATAGTCAATTAGTATGGCCTTATAACTGTAATTCCTTATGTGATGTATGCAGATATTTTTAGCAAAACATTTAGCAGGATCTAGGAATTGCAGTTGGGTACCATCTTCCTCTACCAAGCATGGCCAGATTGCCGTCCAACACTGTCCTGGGAATTTGCGCTTCACCAGCAGTGCACAAGCTATTTTCCAACATGTTTTCCAGCATGTGGTATTATCAGAGTTTAAGATTTTCTCCATGTCTTGGGTATCAAGTAGTAATTTATGGTAGTTTTACTTGGAATTTCATTACTAAATATTTTTTTTAATTACTACAGTTCAATACCAAATAGAGATTGTATATCTTTTCATTGTCTTTAATAGTCATTGCATCATTGCCTTTCATACATTCTGTTTTTTCTGTTAGGATGTTTGTCTTTTTATCGGTAATTTTAAGAGTTTTAAAACCTAATCTAGAGTAATCCGTCCGTTTTTGATCCATCTGGGATTGATTTTGGGGTCTGGCCTAAGCTGGAGAGCTACTGTGAAATCTCTCGTGTACATGGCCGAGAGCCTTGGCCCTAGCTAATTAGTAGTCTCATTTGTTTTCACTAAATTTAATGTCACTTCTATCATGGGAAACGTCTATGCTCTTGGGTCAACTTTCACCCTTCTTTCGTTTCACGACCTTCTGTACCTGAACTAATGACAATCTCATCTAGCAGCATAACTCTTATATCTTTCTTTTGATATAAAGATCCTTCCTGTCTTAGTTATCTAGTGCTGCTAGATGACAAAACCACAAATGTTTTCATTTTAAAATAAAACACACACATACAAAACAACAACAACAAAACTCGTTTTCTCCAAGAAATAAATGAAACTGTTTCTGGAAGGCCTTCTAATTCAGGTGCCAGCTGTAGAAAGTCTTTCTCTTCTTAATGGATCTAGGCACCCACTCTGCCAGTCTGAAGGTGCTCAGCTCTTTTGCCCCATGAGTTGGCAAGCCTAGTTCTTCTGGCAAGTGCCTGGAAGCACCTGACTCCACTCGGAAGCCTCCTACCCAAATGCATTCATCTCTCCATCTCTCTCTTTCTGTGGGTTTGACTCCTGCACCAGTATCTAGATATTTACAGTTACTTTTTGAGATCTAAGGGTGACCCAGTAGGTTTTCTGGTTTCTTTCTT